TTTCACTCTCTATGGCTCTAGAGTCCTTTGGGCCTTTCAGTGTCTTAATCCTATACATAGTCGGTAGGACTCCTTGGACGGGGGATCAGCCAGTCGCAATGCCGCTACCTACACTCAGAACAACACTAACAGAATAAACGCACACAGACATTCATTCCTCGAGTGGGATTCGAACCCAGGATCCCAGTGTTCGATTGGGCAAAGTCGCTTCGTACCTTAGACACACGGCCGCGATGACTGACTGTGTGTTATTTTAGTGTATGAAATGCTCGTATATCGGCAATACGAACGCTGTCAAAGTAAGAGTCTACCGTTCGTGACAAATGTTCTGGCATAGTATAGTTCCATCCAAAATGTTATTAACAGTTTTAGTGTTTCTGCGTTTTGCGATATGCATACATTTCTAGACAATGACTAATGCCGGTTGTACGGATTCGATCCCGGGTCTGGTCAAGTGGGATTTGTGGTGGATAAAGTGGCGCTGGGGCGGGTTTTCTCCGAGTACTTCGGTTTCCCCTGCCAATCTTCATTCCACCGAATTCTCCACAATAATCACCCGGAGCGGGCTGAAATAGGCCAATCAGTGGCCGTCGTGCCGAGTGGACCCAGTTGGACTCCACCCCCCACTAAGCGAATTAAAAAAATGTCGGTTGTATGAAGCTTGCAAGTGAACAAGAGTCTGAGAAACAAAACATAACAAATCGTTCTGAGATTTAGAGTGTCGCATCGATACAACTGAACAGTTACTATCTTCTGACATGTGACGCCCTGTAGTCTGATCTTTCGGAGAAACATACTATCTTCATCTTCAGGGTGGAATAATGATCCGAGCAAGCCCAGAATGCCGTTTATATCTCTATCGACAAGGAAAATAAAATATTCGCATGCTTAGGTGTGAATTGAACACAGCCTTCAGAAAGTAGAATATTTTGAAGCTAAACAGTAGCCCCGACTATAACAGTTTCCAGGGGCCCTTATAAGGACCACAAAGAAATCGAAGAAACCTTAGCTAATTCCTTCAGGGTGTAGTTGAGAGACCCTACGGCTAGTCCAGGCAAAGGACAGCCACCATGTTCATATTATTGGCATGAAACTCGATCTGCATAGCCTCCCTTACCATACAGCGAACTGTACTTTGTTCAGAACATCCCTGAGAGTGTCATACCCTGAGTAGGCAACCTTACATAAGGAAAGGCAAAAGTGTTTATTGAGACCAGGGGTATGTCGATTATGGCTCCTATTGCATGTGGGAAATCGAATCTGGTAACTGTCTAATGATATGTTGGCTATCATTTGTTTTAATTTCTGTCGTTGAAGAAAATGCGTGATTACGATACTCACATAGGTTTCTTTGAAATTGTAGCAAATTACGTATTATTGTTGTATAGTTGTATACTGCTGGTGCTCGACAGATATTTACTGAAAGCCGACATACCTACAGGTATATGCAGGGAGACTTGTTTGTGTTTGCCATGTAGATGTTTATTTTGCTTTCTTCCTGCACGGTCTTAGTATCTGGGTGTCTGTTCCTTGTTTAATAGGAGATGATGGCTGTTGTATTCAGCTTTAATAGTACATCGTATAGTTTACTGGCGTTCGCTGTTTCGGTTAAATATCAACATAGGTTTTCTACTTGGCAGTAGTGCTTATTTGTTATGTCTGCGAATTTCCGGTTCCTCAATTTTCCTTAGGAGAACGACCATTTAAACCCCAGAGTGAGTGCAATATATTCTGTGTTTATTGCATGCAATGGGTTTCGCTCTATTAAAAGCATTTGATTCCAATGACTGATGCTGGGTAAGATGTGGAATACATATACCTTGACTGCTATTTCTGTTTTCTTGGCCGATAATTCAAATTTTAAAATATTTTCTAAAGGGTTGTGACTAAAGTATGGATTGGGTTGTTGAGCATTACCCATCGCCTAGTATTGTGAACAGAATACAACGTTTCAGAAACTGGATCCACTGAAGATCAGTTCTTTCTACTGAAGCAGCTGAGTGGGTGCCCTTCCTCCTCTTCACTTGGTGACAGAAACAGATCAAGTTTTTTAAATATGTTCTGTTCAGAATACTAAATGTCGAGAAAAGTAATATGTTTCCCAGTCGATTTTTGTATTTATTTGTTGCTATAGATTTGATTTTATGAAATTCATCCGCTGTTATTTGTATGCATCTTCTTTCACGGCTTCCATGCCCCACTCATTCTTTGTCTTTACTTAGCTGATAGCCAGTGTGAGTTTTGTATTTTCGCATTTCTGTGCTCTTCGTTCTTGATCTCCTTATCTCAGACAATATTTGGATACCTGTGTTTGAGGTGTATTTTTATTCATTGTTGTTAGTTGCTTTGTTTTGAGATGTTTGATTTTCTTCTCTTACTTTCTTTCCTGCTTTATGATCCATATTTTATTGCTCAATAATAGACTTAACTGAAGGACACTAAGTGAATTGCCCTCATGTATCTCTGTTATTGTTGTTGTTACTGCTACTGCTGCTACTACTGCTACTGCTACTGCTACTGCTACTACTACTACTACTACCACCACCACCACCACCACCACCACCACTACTTACTTACTTACTTACTTACTCATAGAGCTGAGCCCTTCTGGAGGAGCCACCAATTCTGCTGCTACTCAAGAATTTCCCAGAATTTTATGGAACCCGAAGGCTCATTACCGTGTTCACAAGAGCCCTCTACTGGTCCCTATCTTGAGCCAGATCTATCCAATCCATACCATCCCATCCTATCTCTCTAACATCCATTCTAATATTGTCCACCCACCTATGCCTTGGTCTTCCCTGTGGTCTCTTTCCTTCTGGCTTTCCCACCAATATCCTATACGCATTCCTCGTCTCCCCCATTTGCGCTACATGACCTGCCCACCTCATCCTCCTTGACTTGATCATTCAAATTATTCTTGGAGAAGAGTACAAGTTATGAAACTCCTCATTATGCAGTTTTCTCCACCCTCCTGTC